CTCGCGGAGGGGGTGGACAGGAAAAAGAAAATTTTTAAAATATATTAATAAAATTTTATATTTTAAAAACACCCTCTAAGGTACACTTAAGTCTTTGCCATACAAATCTATAAAAACACATCTAAAAACACCTAATTCATAAGCATCCTTAATTTTTGCTTTCAAGTTTTGTATTTCTAATTTGCACTGTATAGCATGGTTTGTCTGACATAGTGTGAGACTCCCCCTCCACATCGGAAGTGGGAAGGGAAAGGAATTAATATGAGCCTGTGTCTAGGGGTAGAGTTGAACCAAGTAGCTCGGCTCGACCTCGTGAGCTACTTGGTCAGCAGCTCGAGATTGAGCTCGGTTGACCAAGCTCGATCTCGAGCTCGAGCTGCTCGTTAGAGTTATCGAGTCGAGCTCGATTTTAGATATATGATACTTGAGAGCTCGACGAGGTCTATCAAGTTTTTTATAATATATATTTTAATTTTTATTATTGTGAAATATCAATAATATCCTTTAGTTAAAATTATATATAAAATATTAATTTTTATTACTTGAACTTGATTAGGCTTGATTGATCTCGAATAAGCTCGATTGAGCTTGATTTGAATTTATTACATTTAATTAAACTCGAGCTCGAGGTCGAATTTTAAAACCTCAACGAGCTCGAGCTCGAGCTTAGTTATTTTACTTCGAGTCGAGCTCGAGTGATACACTACTCGAGCTCGACTCGACTCGAATAGCAGACTACTCGAACTCGACTCGACAGCAGTCCTATCTATGTCTATGAACTACTAAATAACTTGGATTAATTATTTGAGTAAATATTATATACATTAATAATGTATATATTATTATGATTGAATATATGATATAGATATAATTTGAATTTTAAATTCAAATTCAAATTATATGTCATGCATTTAATGATGAAAATATATACATTATTATTATATAAAAAATTAATCCTAATTATTTTGAACCTATAGTTTTCGTTCAAAAGTTATTTGAGCCAGCATGTAGATCCAGTGTGTTACAGTTGGTACTAAAGCAAATCTGTGTAATCTCCATACAGGATAAGTTTGGGGCAATTAGTATTATGCTTCCAACGACCTAAGAAAGTGTAAGAAATTACGTGTGTGTTACGTTCGACCTCTAGAATCTACGGAATTTAGTGACACATTGGACGAGGCCACCCTAACACCTGTACAATGCACTTCGAGAGTTTATGCACAATGAGCAGACAATTTGAATCATTGTGGATTTCGCGTGGACACGAACGTCCTAAGACGGTGACCCCATCCCAGGTTAGAAGTGAGAAAAGAAAAGGAATTAATATATGAGTGTGAGCCCATGGTTACTACTATTTGATAACTCCATTCAATAATTATGTTTAATAATTTAAAATTTAATATATTCAAATATATTTAATAATAAAAAATAAAATATATGAATTAATTAAATAGTACTCCCTCCGTCCCACTTTGATAGTTTTGTTTTCCTTTTTCGTCTGTCCCAAATTATAGTCCACTTTCCTATTAAGAAATGTAGTAATCTTTCAAATTATCTAAAATACCCTTATTAAATATCTTGTTATTAATACATTGTTATTAAATACTAACCCACTACATTGAATACATTGAGCTTTTCCAATACTAACTCATTAGCTGTAACTGATATTAATTGGCACTCTTCGTGATTAGCATAAGGGTATTTTAGGAAATTATTAATCTAAATTTATGTTTCCAACCAAATTAATTACACTTTCTTAATCTGTGTGAAAAAAAAACCAAGACTAACAAAACGGGACGGAGGGAGTATTAAGTTTTCTATTTCATAATTCCATTCAATAATTATGTTTAATAATTTAGAATTTAATATATTCAAACATGTTTAATAATAAAAAATAAAATATATGAATTAATTAAATAGTATTAAGTTTTCTATGTAAACTTGCTTTCAAAAATAATTTATAAATTATTTATTTATCATTTAGTATGATATATACTCAAATATAATTTAATAAATTTAAATTTTAGATTTTTGTTTTATCAAATGCAACATGAGTATTATGGGTTGTATAAGAATTCCAAATTTAGAATTGTTTTTACAAAAATTGATTAAAGGAATTTTTAAAAAAATAAGAATTATATTCATAAAAAGGGAGAAAGTTACAGAACCTGCATCAGAGACCACAACTCCAATAAGATCCTTCATCTCATCGTTTAGCTTATCAAACTTCTCCTGTTGCAGCCTAAGAAGGATACTCAGGAATCTTACTCCCTTGAGGAGTTTTATCATTTGATCCTTCACCGTAACGAGGAAACTGGTATAGCATTCTGATATGATCACCCAGATACTTTGCTCGAGATAATCAATAAATTCAGCCACTAGACGCCTATTCTCCTTCAAAGCTAAAGTGTAGGATGATCTTGATAACTTGGAAGCTTCCAGGACATGGGTATAAATTTCTCCGACTTGGGGATCAATGGGAACAATCATCTTGTGTATTAGTTGAGAAATTTCAAATTTCGTTGCATTGCACACTTTCATATTGCATCTTTGGAACCCAAGTGTAGAAGCCAGGATTGCAACATTGACAGCTACAACTTCAATGTGAGCCAACAGATCTATCAATGGCTGACCCTCAACACCTTGTACTGTTGCAAAGCGAACGAAACTCTGCAAGAACATTAGCTTCTCTTGAAGAGTTTCTAGTACAGTTTTTAGAGCTGTATTAATTGATGCAACCTTCTTGTCACAAATACGCGCCAGATTCACTGAAATGGAATCAATGAAATACATAAGTACTTGTAGATCTCCCAGCGAGTATTTAAGCAAAAACCTGCTGACATCCAATTCCTTGATATCTGTTTCCACCAACAACCTCATATTTTTCTCAAATCTTTCGAGGTCACGTATGATTTCATTACGATCTGATGCACCATACTGCATATATCTAAAACGAACAGAGTCAAGTCCATGGGTTGACCCCCAAACCAGATCTTGAATCTTGAACGACACATTGCTAAGTTTCAAAGTGTCAAACTTAGCATCACCCCTGTCCTCCTTATCATATTCCAAACGCGTACCCTGTTTGCTCCTCCTCCTCCTCCTACACTTTCTAATAAACAGATCAAAGGTTTCCAATAGACGTATCCCTATCTTCAACTCCCTGATAGGAGAATAGTGATAGCCGATCATCTCATAAAACCACTCCAGAAAATCTGAAGCATAATCGAAGCAACTTTTGCTTGATTGATCTCGAATAAGCTCGATTGAACTTGATTTGAATTTATTACATTTAATTAAACTCGAGCTCGAGGTCGAATTTTAAAACCTCAACGAGCTCGAGCTCGAGCTTAGTTATTTTACTTCGAGTCGAGCTCGAGTGATACACTACTCGAGCTCGACTCGACTCGAATAGCAGACTACTCGAACTCGACTTGACTCGACTCGACAGCAGTCCTATCTGTGTCTATGAACTACTAAATAACTTGGATTAATTATTTGAGTAAATATTATATACATTAATAATGTATATATTATTATGATTGAATATATGATATATATATAATTTGAATTTTAAATTCAAATTTAAATTATATGTCATGCATTTAATGATGAAAATATATACACTATTATTATATAAAAAATTAATCCTAATTATTTTGAACCTATAGTTTTCGTTCAAAAGTTATTTGAGCCAGCATGTAGATCCAGTGTGTTACAGTTGGTACTAAAGCAAACCTGTGTAATCTCCGTACAGGATAAGTTTGGGGCAATTAGTATTATGCTTCCAACGACCTAAGAAAGTGTAAGAAATTACGTGTGTGTTACGTTCGACCTCTAGAATCTACGGAATTTAGTGACACATTGGACGAGGCCACCCTAACACCTGTACAATGCACTTCGAGAGTTTATGCACAATGAGCAGACAATTTGAATCATTGTGGACTTCGCGTGGACACGAACGTCCTAAGACGGTGACCCCATCCCAGGTTAGAAGTGAGAAAAGAAAAGGAATTAATATATGAGTGTGAGCCCATGGTTACTACTATTTGATAACTCCATTCAATAATTATGTTTAATAATTTAAAATTTAATATATTCAAATATATTTAATAATAAAAAATAAAATATATGAATTAATTAAATAGTACTCCCTCCGTCCCACTTTGATAGTTTTGTTTTCCTTTTTCGTCTGTCCCAAATTATAGTCCACTTTCCTATTAAGAAATGTAGTAATCTTTCAAATTATCTAAAATACCCTTATTAAATATCTTGTTATTAATACATTGTTATTAAATACTAACCCACTACATTGAATACATTGAGCTTTTCCAATACTAACTCATTAGCTGTAACTGATATTAATTGGCACTCTTCGTGATTAGCATAAGGGTATTTTAGGAAATTATTAATCTAAATTTATGTTTCCAACCAAATTAATTACACTTTCTTAATCTGTGTGAAAAAAAAACCAAGACTAACAAAACGGGACGGAGGGAGTATTAAGTTTTCTATTTCATAATTCCATTCAATAATTATGTTTAATAATTTAGAATTTAATATATTCAAACATGTTTAATAATAAAAAATAAAATATATGAATTAATTAAATAGTATTAAGTTTTCTATGTAAACTTGCTTTCAAAAATAATTTATAAATTATTTATTTATCATTTAGTATGATATATACTCAAATATAATTTAATAAATTTAAATTTTAGATTTTTGTTTCATCAAATGCAACATGAGTATTATGGGTTGTATAAGAATTCCAAATTTAGAATTGTTTTTACAAAAATTGATTAAAGGAATTTAAAAAAAAAAAGAATTATTCTATTCTAAAGCTGATGATCAAAATTTTACAAAGAATATCTCTAAAATGTCATATTTTGAATTAATACAATTACGTGTAAGCACGTGGGGTCGAAAAAGCATTGAACCCCACCGCCATTGCTCAAACATAATTGCCATTCATCGGTAGTAGTACCAATCTTGCAACAAATCTCTTCCACCGTAGAGAAGTCTTTCTCACATACTCTCCGTCTTTGCAAAGGAATACCCAATGGCGGATGCATTTCTTGGTGCCACTATACAGTTTCTAGAGGGGAAAGTAATAACCTTGGCTTCCCAGCAGATTAGCCTTTCTTTAGCCTTTAAGAGAGATTTGCCGAAGCTGAAGAAAACACTTACCAAGATCCAAGCTGTTTTTCGTGATGCAGAGCAAAAGAAAGTCACCCTCGAGTACGCGAAGCTTTGGCTGAAGGAACTTGAAGACGTGGCTTTTGATGCTGATAACTTGTTGGATGATCTCAATTATGAAATGATTCTACGCAAAGTTGAGATTCAGAAACAGGTGAAGAGGAAGGTATACTTCTCTTTGTCACTCTTCAATCCCATCACATCTCGTTTCAATATCGCATATAGAATTCGAACGGTCACTATGGAATTGAAAAGAATTAATGAAGAAGCAAAGGGCTTTGGCCTCCGGTCACAAAATGGAGGATTTATGAAGAACAGAGAGACTAACTCTGTTACTATTGATTCAAGCTTTGTTGGAAGAGATGATGACCTCTCGATGATAGTGACAGGGTTGACTGCTGCGAGTAAAAATGAAATAGTCCTGGTTCTTCCTATAGTTGGCATGGGCGGGATTGGTAAGATCACCTTGGCTCGAAAAGCTTTTAACGATCTAAAGATTGAAAATCATATTTTGACAAGAGAATATGGATACGTGAATTAAAAGATTTTGATGTTAATAGATTTTTTAATTCGATTATAGAATCATTGCAAGTCTGAAAACCTGAAGCTGAGGGTCAAGAAGCCAGAGTCAAGCTGCTAAAAGAGTTATCGGATGATAAAAGGTATCTATTGGTCCTTGATAATGTGTGGAATGAGCAAGCCACACTATGGAATGATTTTCTTGGGTCTTTGAAAGGTATCAGCTCATCCAAGGGGAATTCCATTCTTCTAACCACCCGTCAGCAACAAGTGGCAGCCATGACAAGAATTTCTTCTTCTCCATGTTCTTTGAAAAAATTGCCAGATGATGAATGCTGGCTCATTCTCAAAGAAAATGCATGTGGTGTTGGGGAAGTGCCGGATGGACTGCAAGACATAGGATACGAGATTGCACAAAAATGCCAAGGTGTACCATTAGCTGCAAGTGTAGTCGGCTGGATATTGCGCAACAAGGGAAGTGATGAAAGGCTTTCAATTTTGGAGACTGGCCTTCAAAATTTAGGTGGAGATGAAAAGTTGAGCCTTCATCATCTTCCATCTCCATCGCTGAAAAAGTGCTTTGCATACTGTTCAATTTTTCCCAAAGACATTGAAATAAATAGTAGTCAGCTACTTCCAACTTTGGGCAGCAGAAAGATTTCTTCATTCAAATCCAAGAAACAATATGGAGATGGAGGAAGTTGGAGAAATGTTTTTTTTCGATTTTGTTGGAAACTAACTTGTTGCAAGATGCTGTGAGGGATGAGTACAGGAATGTTTTGAATTGCAAAATGCATGATCTTGTGCATGATTTGGCATTATCCATCTTCAATTATAAAGCCTTAAGGTTGAAAGGAACTAGAACATATTACGACGAGACCCTTTCTATTCGGTATCTTGCGACGGAGAATGGTGACGAAGAAATACCATTTCCTTTGCATGAGAGTTTCAGGTACATTACGACATTATTCTTGTCTGAAAGCAGATTAATCACTTGAGCATCTCATTTTATCAAACATTTTGAATCTAATGGAACGGATGGAAGCAGCATTTCATGATGAAAAAGATGATGGTATTTCCTGTTCTTGAGAAGTTAGAGATTAAGAATTGTACGCAATTAGCCATTGCTCCAAGTCATTTTCTGATTCTCAAGGAATTTCATGCCAAGGACATCAATCATGGATAAACCATAATAGCAAATATTTGCAGTCGAATCAGCGCTTTTACCAGTCTGTCAATTTGGAATGTCAAAGAGCTCACCAAGCTACCAAATGGGTTATTCCAAAATAATCCGAATCTTGCATTTTTCAAGTTGTACAATTGCCATGAGTTGGAGCAGTTGTTGGATTTCAGCTCTGGTGTTCAAATCCAAAATTGCCAAATAGTACCTGAGTTGAACCAATCATACAGTAATGTTGACAATATTAATTCTCAAGATCTGGTTGGTCTTAGTTCACTAGAGAAATTATATATTAGTTTATGCCCCTCCCTGAAGTCGATTTCAATCCCTAGGGGAGCCCAATACCTCATTGCCTTTCGAGAATTATGTATTCACAGCTGCAGTGGGTTAACCCATTTGTCAATCCCTAAAATATGGGGGCTAGACTCTGAGTCCTGCTCTTCTTCATCCTCCAATGCTTGTTCTTTTCTTGAGCCATTTTGAAACTAACACATAGTTTTATATTTTGTATGAAAACATTCAACTATAGTTCACAAGTCTTCTTAGTAAAAAGGGAGGAAATATCCGTATTCTAATACTCCAATTTTATATCTTTTCTAGTAGATTTAGACCGAACACCTTCCTTCTCTATTCTAGATATACTATTGGAAATTAGTTTGTAGTATGAAAATTGATCAAGACTTGTAACATGATTTTTCTTATCATGTCTAGGAGTTTGATTCATGAATTTCCTATAAAGTTCATTGGTATTTTGACGTATCTTCTCAAGTTTATTAGTTCATTTATGGAACCACTTAATTCATGTATTTGATGTACTAAATTCATAAATGGTTATTAAGTGAAGATACATCTTCACATTGATGTGTCTTCTCACGTTCATTAGTTCATGAAACTACTCAATTAATGTATTTAAAGTACTAAATTCATGAATGGACATTAAGTGAAGATACATTGTTGTATCTTCTCAAATTTATTAGTTCATATATTTGGTGTACTCTATTCATAAATGGACACTAAATGAGATTCATGTACTTTAACTCTTGTATTGCCTATAAATAGAGGTAGTTTAACTTCTCTTGTGACAACTTATGCTGACACTATCTTAGATTTGCAAAACCAACTTCTTACATCCTTTTCTTATGAAAACTAAGCTTACACTTGCTATAGGCTAGTTTTCGTTTCCATTGTATTCTAGAGGTAATATACCATCTCAACCCGATTAGCAGGACTTGAAAATTCTCTTGAATTCTCAAAAAATTAGTTTAGTCAAGTTTTTGATATTATCCTTGTAATAACTTTGCAATAGGTTCATAGACTTGTAATTCCACTTCTTACATCCTTTTTTATGAAAACTAAGCTTACACTTGCTATAGATTAGTTTTCGTTTCCATTGTATCCTAGAGGTAATATACCATCTCAACCCAATTAACAGGACTTGAAAATTCTCTTGAATTCTCAAAAAATTAGTTTAGTCAAGTTTTTGATATTATTCTTGTAATAACTTTGCAGTAGGTTCCCATATTTCTCTAACACATTCGTCAATGTGACAAATGACTTAATTTCCCCAAAGGGAATGTTGTTTCTCTTACAAGGTTAGAGGGTTGGAAATTGGACCCTTCTCAGAAATCATGGATCTGCATTCGTTCCTAGACCTCTTCAAAACTCTCCGACCACAGCACCACTTGCCCTCCCTTTGGCATTTAAGTTTGTATGAAAACTTCAGCACGCCTCCTCCTTTGAAATTCTTGATTTAGAAGTTTTTGCAGTAAAATCATTGCCCGATTGTTTGGGAAGCTTTCGTCACTTGTACAACTCGGGCTCGACTATTGTGAAACGCTAGAGAGTTTGCCTTCCAACCAATCAATGAGAAGCCTCGCCAAACTAAGATGGCTGCGGATTGAAGGTTGTCACCCTCTACAGGAAAGATGCAATCCAGAGAGCAGCCGCAGCAGCAACGCCCCCAATTCTGAGTGGTCCAAGATATCCCATGTTCCTGAAATCACCATTGATGGTTAGCAAATTGAAGGAATCTCTATGTAAAGTTCATGCTAATGTAAATTTCCCAATTAAAGATCCTCTGAATTCCTCTATAAGTTTCTTTCATCATTTCCTCCTCATACTCTTTCTGCTAAACAATTGATGCAAAAGATCTTGCTTGGCCCTGTGAACTTTTTTGCTGAGGTGTATGTGTGAGAGAGAGATTAATATTTTATTTTTCCGGATGACTATTCATTTGTGGTCTTTACTTGGTGTCCGGCTCTGCCAAATAACTCTTTTCCCTCCTACGTTTACTTGTGGCTGCCCAAGAACTGAGATTTTGGAGATCAGATGTAGTTCTTGCAGGATACGTTTTCGTGTTTCCTTTTTCATCACTTAAATAATGATGTGATTTATAATTTATGGCTATGTTGTGAATTGCAGCTGAAATTTTTGAAAGTTCAATTTTCTGAGCAACATGAAGTTTCTTCAAATTTGCTCATCTTGTTTTCCTTCTACCTTGCTTATGCACTTAGTAGATACATTGCATATCCAGTCCTGGTTTATATCCAGGACATCTTTAAATTCAGTTCTGGACTTTTGTTTTTCCTACTCTGACTTTTTTTTTTTAATTTTAAATTCTGTTCTGGGTTGTATCCAGGAGCGAAACTTCTAGACAAGTAAAGTCGGTTTTTGCTAAAACAAAGTACTAGAACTTGTTATCAATCAATAACATCTTGGCTTGTCTTTCAATATTCTAAAGGGAAATTACTATTACCCATGGTTTTGCATTTGACCACACCATAATGCTCCTCTTGTTCAATATTATTCACTTAACCCCCTGTAGTATTCTGTAAAGTGGAAAATAGACAGGAAAATCACCTGTAAAGCTTCCATTCATTTTTCAGTTATTAGTGCCTTAAATATCAAGAATTATCAACAAATAGTGAAGCTTGTCTTATGGTTGAACAGTCAAGTAGTGCCCTAAAGCAATTTCTTCATATATCTTCCAAATGGAACTTCTAGGTGAAATAACAGGCAATCTGGTATTTTTAATTTTACTGGGTATGCAGTGATTGAACAATGAAGTTTCATATCTTCCTTCTTGCAGCTGAATGCTGAAATTACTTGTTTTCTATAGTTAGCAAACCATAATACTTTGAGGTTGTGCATGCCTTAGTTTTGGAGTTAGTTTTTATCCCCTACTGGGCTATACTTGTCTGTTGAACTATGTTACTAGCTACGAGATTACATTCTTTTATGCTGTTAATTCTCTAATGCAACTGTCGTTTGTCAGACAGTTGCTCTAGTGCTATAGTTCTGATGAAGTCTCTGAAGACATGTGAAGTTTCCTATCTATGAATCACTATGAGCATAAGCTATTCTCCCAAGCTTCGGGGCTATTATAAGGTTGATGTAAAAGCTAGATTACATGGTTAGTATCTCAAGGTTGCATAAATTTCTCGAGTCTATCTTAAGATATTTCTTATTTTGTGTCTTTAAAACAAATCAGGGTAATGGACTCTACCTGGAGAAGGCCAAATTTTTTGATGTAGGAGAGGTAATGTTTGACGCTAAAACTATACATGAATATGTAATAGATATCATTCAGGTAGTGAATTTTTGAGGGAAAGGATCTACCCCATTGGCAATACAGTTCATGTGGATGGCAATCTCCCAGTGAAAAGGAATGTCCATGCAAATTTCTTGGAGTTATTTTTCGAACTCTGCAAAAATTCTTAAGTCCTTTAAATGGGCAAGTCAAATACCTTGATGGTACTTGCAAACAAACTAAAATTAGAAAAACAACAAACAAGTAAAAAAAAAAAAAAAGAACGTAAGGACTATTCCTATTGAAACCAGTTTTCTTATAATATTTGAGGGATCTGAACAAGATCCAAAGTCTAGATACGTCGTTTAAGATGGCTTGATCCCTTCAATGAAATTTGACTTGGGCTATACTGCAGGTGCAAAAGGTTTTCCAGTGGCGGTAACTTGAGATGCTGGGTTCCACCTAAGCTACTTGCACTCTTATGTTAGTATTAACTTCTCAAGAACTAATTCTACCATTTCATTCCTTTAAAAATCAAGCATTGATTGATGTTATTATCTTCTAAGAATTGAATTTTAATAACTCTTTTTATGCTGTACATTATTCATATTTGCTGTGCTTTGGACTCAGCAAGGCTTGGCATAAAATCAGTAACGTGGAATGAAAAACGCTGTTGACTAAGGCCTGATGGTAGCTCACTGTTTTTTGCTCACAAGACACACTATGAATAGCTAAGGCAAGGCATCTTTTCAGCAACCTTTGCTATATTATCTAAGATTATGCAATGAGGATATGGATCCCAAGATTTAGGTCTTAAATTGTCCCAGTTCAAGTCATCCTTTGCAGCTGGACAAGAAAAAGTAGGAAAACTTTTTTACTTGGGGGAATCTGTCTGGGCTCTTTCAAAAGGAAGACTCTTGCACTTTAATTCCAAAATGAGAAGGTTAAGGTACAAGTCTGTGTGAGTGCAATGCTTTCTGCATCGGTTAATTCTCATTGGGCAATTCATTGTCTGATGTCATTTCTTCATATGGTCAAAGGCAATTCTAAGTCTAGTTTGAGAGTCTACATTCACATTGGTGAGTCCCTGGAAAATATATGAGAAGGACAGATAGAGTCTCTTGAGGCTTAGAGCTCTCGCAGAAGCTGCATGAAAGATGATTCTAGCTGGCTACAGGGATTTTCACTCATGAGGTACTTCTCTTTGTGATGAAGTTATACTGATTCAAGAAAACTTATTTGATTTTCACCGCCACTTCTGATCTATTTGTGATTTCATCATATTTTCATAATCAATAGAATCAAAGAGGTCTTCATGATTGCCATGTATTTTAAACTTGTGAAATTGTGAATCCCATTGTTTACAAGGTAAATTACAAGGTAATGAACAGACAGATGGAAAAGCCAATACATGGGAAAACTCCTGGTTGGATTTTTAAGTAATCATATGTCCTTACTCTTCTAATCAAGCATATACTTCTGAATCTGCTGCTTTCATTTTTTGGAGTGTAATTATTATTGCTCTTAACCTTGTGATGATCAAAATGCCTTATCGCCTTGTTTTTCTCCATTTAGATGACAAATGCTGCAAATGAGGCTTGTCAGCCCTTTCAATGAAGGACGAGGGGCCTGGACGGTTGTCACGGCCTAGATGAGGCAGTTCACGGCCTAGATGAGGCCTCAAGAATTTGTGCGGCTCAGATCACGTCTTGTAACTCGATTTTCACGCCGTGTGGGACCCACAAAAATGTTGTTCTAATGTTACTCGCTGTTGTTCTATTGTTACACCTTGTACAGATGATGTTACATCATGTATAAATGGTGTTACACCTTCCGGAGCGGTTGTCAACCCCGCGTCCTTCAATGAAATATAGCCTGATCGAATTGAGAAGCATTCGTCTGAAGGGTTCTAAGTTGGCACATCTGAAATGCTTGAGTAGTAACTTTCCCACCAAACCATTAGAAGACTCCCTATGGGATGTGAATCTTCTTATCTGAACGGAAGATGATGTCAGGAGGGCAGCTGCCCCAACATTGAGTGGTGTAAGAGTTCAAAGCTTTTTGTACCTTGTGATTTATCATTTTTTAATTGGATACAAAGTTGTCATAATTTGCTCAAATTCTAAGGAACTCTGGTCTACAGCTGTCTCATTCCCTGTTTAACTGATCTTTAGATACAGGCTCTGAAGAGATTTCACATGGCCACTTGTACATATCATATATTTATCAGATTATCATCTGCTTCAGTTTAAATTACGCTTCAGATCACTCAACTCTGTGCTACATGCTCTGCTTGAGTATATTTCGTAGATTTGAAAAATCTATTTGGAGTTGGGACTTTGTTGGATTATATACTGGGACTGCTTACTAGAATGATTTTGACACTCATTCTCCAGTTTCCCCTCCACAATAACTTGTCTGCAATATGATCTAAATGATGATTTGGATTTGCAATATTTCAGTGTCAATTGTATTTTGTATGTTTCTCATTCAGGAGGGAATTGCTTCACATAAGTGGGGATTGCTTTCACAAGAACTAGTCATGGTCATAGAGATTGTAGATATTCCTTTTTGCTCTACTTTTTTTTTTTGGATCCCAATTCTTTTTGAAATACTAAATTCTCTCACCTCAAGTGAAATAAGAAATATATCTAGGAAAAAAGATCATTGGAAGTACCTTTTATTTAGGATTACTCTTTTAAAGATCATTAAAGGGTCATTAGTATCACTTGAAATTAATATTGTAATCTAATCTTTATTGTGCCTTTGTTATCCCTTTGACTTGCTGAAATGGGCATGGTCACAATGAGATCTTATCTGGCTAGGAAATAGTTAAAATGTAGTATTACTAACATTTTAGTACATCTGCAAAGGCCCAAATGCTGTATATATTATTCAGCATGTGTGTTAAGTTGCAGTTCTACAATCATATGCATAATTATTTTAAAAGAAAATTTACTGAAGCTCATACTTACGTTTGTTGAGTGAACAATTACATGAAAACATTTTTTTTTAAAAAAATTAAAAAAAATAGATGCGGATTGATTTTTTTTTTGGCTTCTAGGAAGGATGCTCATAATGTTCAAGATCATTGGTTTTAATTTAAATCTTTCCTTGGGTGGTCAAATAAAATGATAAGTTTACTTCTTCCAAACTTTTTCTGTTCAAGAATTGAGATTGTTTATGTTAAAGTAAGAAATTTTGGGATATTTTTACAAGTCAACAACTGAAATGTCTTAAAGTTTCTCCTTTTTCTTAAGGCACGATAAATTTTGTCAACTTAGTGCTTTTGATTCGTCATTTTTTGCTGCTTATCCTATTTTTCTTTTCTATACGTAGCTCAAGTACATGCACTACGTATCACTCTTTTTCCTTTTTCTTTTCACTGGGCCTTTCGCTCAAGCACATGATAGCTTTTAAGCAATCAGACTGTCTTGACTTCTTTTGAAATTCAAAAAGCGTTAAATTTCGTATGGATGATTGTCTATCAAAATATTTTACAGCACAAGATGCTTGCAACATACCATTAACACTTCGGAATCATTCTTCATGGCTTATCCTTTATTCATGTATTCATGTTCGGAATGTTGACCGGCTTCTAGATGGAAATTTGTTGGAAATTTTTTGATGCAACACGAATGTGATTTTTTAACGGGTAGAATGGAGGGGAAATTACATAATACACCATAAGTTATTAAACCCGACTCAACCAGTGACTTGAGCATCAGACTGGACCAGGTCTCTAGTTTGATCAGACAAGAAATTAATCCGATCAAACCCAAACAAACCTGTTTAACTTAATAGTTCAACTAGGAGTAGCTCGATTTTCTAATTGACTCAGTCTCTCTCTCTCTCTCTCTCCCACAATTATGGGTCTTTGTTTTTGAAACAAAGTGTATATATGTTTGTGATAAGATTTGTACATTGGATCATCATTTAAATGTACATAAGACTTTACCACTTGCTTAGATTTTATTTGATAACTAAATGTTTTTAAATAAATTTTCTTACGTTTTTAATTATTCAATTAATC